TCCATATAAATTTGATATTACATTGTTTTAGCACATATTTTAATTTGATTCTTGTTGCTTTTTCTTTCACTTTACTATGATATGTTTACATTTTGAACAGTTTAACAAGAAAAGCTTTCATGTTGGGAAATTGTGATGGCTTGTTTTTGTTGACATTTTGTAGACTAAAAATTTAAATATATTAAATCAATAGGTGTAGAAAACATGCATTATTATTTTACTGTAATTTAACAAACGTGTTATTCTGTGTTTCTCCTTCTGCCTTCAGTACTGGATCAATGAGTTCACCAGCTCTCTGGGCATCGGAGTCTTTCACTCAGGGATTGAGATCTATGGAAGAGGTAAGGTTGCCCAGAAATAAGACTCCGCCTACATCAAGTCATTTGCCTAAGGATAGTGTTACAGAGAGGATGCTTTTTTTATAGCTCAGGATATATACACACACCACTGTTTTCCCTTCTGGGCATGTCTAAACATACTTATATATAGTGTATATATAAAACTGTATGTTATCTGCTAATGGCTTTTGTAACATCAGCAGCTCAAATTTGTTCTTGTGTGTTTAGAGTTTGCCTATGGCGGACACCCGTACCCATTCTCAGGGATCTTTGAGATTACACCAGGTGATGCAACTGAGCTTGGCGAGACCTTTAAGTTCAAGTAAGTGTGGGATAATTGGTGTTTATATGAGACATACAAGTACAGATATGCATGTGTTCTGTTTTGCTAAATATCTTTCGCAACAGCCTAGGCAGCTCGCAACATGCTTGATGGAGTTTTTACGGTGAAAGAGTTGGCCTGTTTAATGTAGAATGTTAATCAAATGGCGAGTCAGTCAGGTTACCGCTCAAAAGTTTGTTAGTCTATTAGCTATTAAACTCAGTAGTGACGAGAGGACAGTCGTTCACGCGCCAAGGGCTGGGTAGTAAAATAATGGCAATGAGGAATGTATCATAAATCTATCTGGGTCCACCCTTATCTGCGCAGTTACCTCAGTAGGTTGAAGCAACACAGGATCTTTGGAAAAATGAGTAACTGCAAGGGTTGCCAGCTGGCACACAAGGGAGGGGAAGTTATTGGGAATCTGTAGAAATGGTTCTAAACATGGAAAAATAGAAAATCTGTGCTGCAAGATGTTCCAGCAACCCACA